GGCGGGAGGGGTCATCATGTTCCCCTCTGGGCTCTAGTCATTCGGGACATCCAAGGAGAGGAAGCACTGTGCACACACACGCGCGCACACACACACACACACACACACACACACGAGGGGTAGGCTGGCACCGTCAGCTCATCTCTAAGGAGAGTCAAGACATATTCCACCCCTTCACATACTCCTCACGATTCCAGGGCCTCTGTAGAAATATTCGTGTCAAGAGACCACCGCCTTGGAAACAGTGACTCAACAAAATCTTCAGCTTCCTTCACTTGAACACCAAAGGCTTCTTAAGACCCCCACAGGTGAGACCCCCAAAAGCCTACATTCAGCACAGCGAAGCTGCCAGTCCACTCATCCTTGGTGGAAGAGTGAAACCACAGAAAACGTCTCCCTTTGGTCCCTTCTTACATAAAGCAGAGCGTCTTGAGTGGTTATGAGAAAAGACAAAATGTAGGATTCAAGAAACAAAACCAAACCCCCAATTTCCTGTCACTTTTACCTAATTACGCTCTTAGACGATTTGAACAGTTTCACTGTGATTGCAATAGACACGGCCCCCCAGATGCATCTTTTCTGCTGGGTATATAAGTCCTCATGTAACCCCACCCATGAAGTAATTCCCTGCTATTCCCAAAGAGCTATCAGTTATAACCAATAATATTTCTCAGCAGCCAGGTTGACGGACTCTGGTCACCCAGTTCCAGCTGGCACCTAGGAGCCTTGCCCTTGGACAATGCAATCACCGTTAACAATGCAGTCTTTATTACTAGGGAACCGCTAGCTTAAGACAGCCCTAAACACTGGGTAATGTTAAATTCTGAACTGTTTCAAAGTGCCTTTCAAACAGGGAACATGATCAAGTTTACCGGGCTACCACATTACTAGTACATGACTATGAACCTAGATAAATCTCCTCTATTTCTTCTTTCTGGGAAGCTATTTGCTCGAGTTCATGTTTCAAGTAGATTCATAAGCCACGATAAAATGAGATCTACTCCTGTACCAATGGAGGGGGGGTTACTGAACACAAATGGCGCCTACCCTTTTAGTTTGTGTATAGTAACAACAAAGGGGAATTATAAACCAAGAAATTTTTTTCAATTATTTTTTCCCCTTTTTGCATAGATGAAGCTCTAGTGGCATCATGAAGGCCTACTATCTAACTGTTTCTCATGGGACTTCCTCCAGCTATCCACGTGAACCAGGATCTTGAAATTCTTCCAGCTGTTATCATAAAATAAGATCAAGGCATTTCCTACATTATTTTTATATTCCTGAGATCTTAGATTTGTTATTTTTGAAAGAATTTTGGAGAAACATAACATCTGATCTATGTGCAAGCTACTTATTCAACATGTGACCATGAGTCTCAGCACACTGACAGGCACTGGGGACCCTAAAAGGAAAACCCCAGGGTCTCTCCACAGAGCAGGGAAGAGAGACAAGTAAACCAACGATTGCACTACTTTTGATAAATGGTGTAAGCAAGAGCACTATAGGAGCACTAAATGGTGTATTTAATGTCTAGAAGTAGACAGGAAAGGGTTCTTAGGGAAAGCGATATTTTAATGCGGTCCTGAACCTGAGTGAGAGTCAGCAGATGAAAGGAGGTGAGGAGAGCAACAGAAGTGCAAGAATCTGATGAGCCATAAGACAGGCTGGTACTCTAGGAACAGCAATCATCTCTGGAGCCCAGGAAGATGAAGACGAAGAAGGCAATGGTCTAAAAGGTCTATAAAGCTTAAGGATATGGGCTCCACATTCTCAGAAAGGCCAATCTAACTAGTCGATTGGAAAAGACATTGTGTGCAGGGCAGCAACACTGGAAATAAGGGAATGAGTTACGGGCATATTTCAGCAGTGCCCCTGAGAGGTAACTAGCCGAGAGGGAGCACAGATGCGGTGAGAGCTAAACACAAGACGTGGGAATTAGACAGAAGGTAGACTTCAAAGAAGGCACTGGGTGTGTAAAAGTGGAGGTGACTGAGGGGACCCCAGGGGCCAGGGACATGGTGCATGAGCGGACGGTGGTTCCGTCCAAACACAGGTGAATGAAAAAGGCTCCTGGGGTGATGAAGAGAGAGCAAGATGGACGGAGTTAACAAGTCCATTAATAGTGGTCCATGTAGTGTGAGGCTGCTAAGAGACATCCAGGTGCAGACGTCAACTATGGTGTTTGGGGGTGAGTCTTTGGTTTTTAGAAGAAACCCCTGCTGAGGACACAGATCTGAGGCTCATTATCTTCTCAGTCAGAGATGAAACCTGGGGTGCTGATGAGCTCCCCCAGAGAAAGGGCAAACCCCTGAGGGGCACTGGCATTCGGGCAGAAAAGGGAGCCCGCTGCTTAAGAAACCACACGCTTAAACCTCAAGCGCTCAGGGTTAGTTAACAGGCCCTGTGAACGAAGGATGCCTCCTTAAGCAAAACTGAGAAGCTACTCTCCTCTGACTGAAGGACTCCCCTCCCCCAAAACACAGAGGTTTCTCAGCGAAAATTCTTAAGACAATTTAAACTGGGTCTCTTTCATTGGAAAGGAGACAGGCAAATGAACAGAAGAAACATACCCTCTTAGGAGAAAAAATAATAAGAAAGATAGAAAAGAAGAAATGGACCAGAAAGATGGGGAAAAAATGAAGAAATGCCTTTCAGTGCTCTCTTTCTGACTTGGCTGCAATAATGAACTTCATACAACCATGGCTGAGAGGAGAGAAAATCTTGGCTGACTCAGAAGGTGGAAGAAAACATTTTGAAAGGTCTTAATAGCCAGGCTGCCCTTAAACTGAAAGTTCCCACCTAGAAATCCAGGAGAAGAAATTATATTTCAAAACAAGGATTTCTAGCGAAATAGAAAAAAGCAATCTAATCGCAGAGGGTGGATGATAGCAGTGGGTGAGAGAAAGCAGGTCTAGTGAACAAGTAATACATGGCAAGTAGGTGTTTTTGCTTTCCTTTGAAAACACTACCTATGTTGATTTTCTGAAAATACGGTGTTAATTTTCATCATAAGTAGTACTAAAGCCCTTTGTTATTTTTTAAGATATTTATATGTGCTCTTTTTAAAAATCAAAAGCATACTATTATTGCCTTTTTGCATAGGTCTTTCATATGACCCCAAGGCTGCTTTAGTGGAGCCACCACTGCCCCCTGGTGGAAAGTAACTATTTTTGCGTTGAGGCGGCTTATTGAACCTCTACCTACCTGTGCCGCTCAATCTATTAAGTCACAGCATGTGTGTCATGAGTCAAGAGCAAAACAAAACAAAAAGCCAACTATTTATGTTTGTTTTTATATGTGAAGAAAGCCTAAGTGGATTCTTAATACAATTACTGAGCAAATACAAACTCTTTCTCAAAGGCAAGAGGTGCTTGAAGCTAAATACCTGAAGGCGATTTCATGTCTGACGAGATTATTAAATAGAGAAGCCCCAGACATGAGAATGGGAGTCCACGGCCTATAGATGCTAAGAACTTTCAGCTGTATTATAGCTTCTTAACAAACCATCTAGGAGTGGCTCCAAGCAGCCTGAGCTGCAGTGCTAGCTCAGAGACGACTTTTCACTCCCAGTTCAGAGGCTTCTCCCCAACTAACGGTCCATGGCTTAACTCTCAGGTTTCGAGACAGGATATGGTCGACCAGATGTTGTTGCTGACATCTTACTTTTTAACATAACATAGGACCTCAGCAACCGTACAGTCGACCTAACAGAAGGTAAAGGCATCGGGAATAAGCTAGGAGTTTCACTAGCTGCAAAATGTAAGTGAAACAAGAGATACAGCGAAATGAGCCCCCTGGATAAAGGCCCAAGAAAAGTGCTGGGGAAGTCCAGAGTGATTCTGGGAAAGTAGGAACAAGAGGAGACAGGATAGCTCACCCCCCGGCTTCAGACTTTGAAGCTGACACCAGAAACAAAAACACCTGAAGAGCCCTGCCTGATGCTGACCCTCAGCATGTGCCGTCTCAGGAAGAGAGCTGGTCAAGCTGCAGCAGCGAGCTTTGTCATTGGTTTATTCTGGGCACTTCTGCAGATTGTCACATGGGCTCAATAAATACGTGGCAAAGCATGTCTTTGCTTCACAGGCACCAGAGGAAGCCAGCCATTCAGTACAAATAGGTAATCATGCATCACAGGCCACAAACAGGAGGCGCACCTTGGAGGGTCCCTCACTGTGACAGAAGGATGACCCGAGGGTGAGCCCTGAAACGGCCTCACCTTGAGTAAGAGTAAGCATATGGGCCTGACATATAGAAGGTACTAAAAAAAAAATGTCCCAAATCCCATTCTTTTCCATCTCCAACCTCAAATAGACATTTCAATTAAAAAAATTAGATTAAGGGTCGCTAAGATAATGAATATCGAGTCATTAGCACCTTATCTCAAATCAGTTTATCCAAACGCCTAAGAAAGGGCCCAGGGGAGACACACCTTGCTTAAGCATTGCACCTTGGGTCAGGTTAAATCTAGACAACAGGGTGCCACGCAGGATGGCAAACTGAGCTGAAGTGTCAGAGTACACAGGACCCCAAAAGGGGAGCATCGGAAAAAGGACAGTTCACCAACAGCCAGAAAGAAGGGGCTGCCACGTGGAGAGAGGTGAGCCAAAATCCAGCCCTGCCAACCTCCTGCTTGGAGAAACTCTCCAAGTGACCTGGATAAAGAGGAGGCAGACAGCCTGACTTCCTAAAACAAAATTTAAAAGAACACATTTATCTGGATGCATTTTCCGGCCCTTGAATCACTCTTAATGATCTCCCGCGGGTCCCAGGAAATGCACGCTCGGTGGTGAGTGAAGCAGCAGCATGGGGCTAGCCTGTGACACAGGAGTGGTTTCTAAGAGAAGGGTGTGGTCCCCGTAACAAATGAAGGCAAAGGGACTGCTGAGGGTCCTGGGCTCTGGTTCCGTTCTCAGCACAGTGAGGCCCCGGCCATGCACATGCGCTGCGCTCTCCTCTCCACGCTCTCCGTGTTCGCAAAGGTGGGCGAGGGGCGCACTCACTCGTTGAGCAACGGCATGGACGTCCTCCGCTTGCTCTTCTGCACCATGTTGGCCTGATTCCTCAGGGAGATCCGAATCATGGCCGGGGCCAACCTGCAGGGCTCCCCATCCACTTGCATGGGGATGGATTTGTAAGTCAGCAGCATGACCTCCCGGCACTGGTGCAGCCTCTCCCCGTGGCCCCCAACCTGCAGGGCGGCCTGTGAAAACAAGGGTCGAAAGGAAGCCAGGACTTAGTTCCTTTTTTTTTTTTTTAATTTTAAAATATGTTTTTATTGATTTCAGAGAGAGGAAGGGAGAGGGAGAGAGAGGAACATCAATGATGAGAGAGTCATTGATCGGCTGCCTCCTGCACGCCCCCTACTGGGGATCGAGCCCACAGCCCGGGCATGCACCCCGACCGGGAATCGAACCTTGACCTTCTGGTTCACAGGTCGATGCTCAACCACTGAGCCACGTCGGCCGGGCAAGGAGTTAGCTCTTAAGAGTTACTGAGCAAAGCTAGAAACCCAAGTCCACTACATAGAAGCAAAAGGCCTTTGATAAACATATGGAGAGTTGTTAGCCATGATTAAAACAGGAAACCCTGGATAAGTCATTAATACAAACAAACTAAAATTTCTAAACTTTCGATGAGCATCACCATAAATTCTCATTGATAGACACTTTTCACTTTTATGGATTTTTCAGCCTTAATCTAACCATTTTAGTGTAATAGGAACGTGGTCCTTGTCGTTACATATTCCTAGAGGAATAGGTAATTAGAAGAGATAAAGCACATAGTTTAACATAGCTTCTAACCTACAGTTGACCCTTGGACCACATGGATTTGAATTTTGCAAGTCCACCTACAGATACATTTTTTTAATGAATATATTGGACAAATTTTTGCAAGATTTTCTTACTACCATGAAGCAATCGCATCAATTACACCAGGTCACCACAGAACAATCAAATTGCTGCTTCTCTGTTATCACTGCATGAATCGTTATACGAATTTCTTTTTTTCACTTTATCTTTCCATTTGTGATATCTAGCCTTAGTAATACATATAACATCTACAGTGTTTTGTGTCATATAAACAATATTGATGTAGGCACTGGCAGATGATTTATCTTGTAAGCATGTAAACTGAATGGTATTGATAAATACATACAGTACTATAAATGTATTTTTTCTTCCTTATGATATTATTAATAACATTTCTAGAGCTTACTTTAAGAATATATTATATAATACACAGAACATGCAAAATATGTGTTAATCAACTGTTAATGTTATCCATAAGGCTTCCAGTCAACAGTAGGCCATTAATAAAGTTTTGGGGGAGTCACAAGTTATACATGGATATTTGACCATGTAGTGATCAGCACCCCTAACCCCTGTGTTGTTCAAGGGTCAAGTGTATATTTAAATGTAAATGTATATTATAATAACTATACAATCTATATTATATATTAAATATGTTCATATTAAATAAGTAGCCCATCCTTGGTCAATTTTCAAACTTGGGCAGGCTCTTCCTTTTTACCTACAACCTCCTCACAAGCTACTTCTAATCTGTGTCTAATCTGAAATGCAAAATAATATGAACTCAGTTAAAAACATTCTGAAAAATAAAGCAGTTTTGAGGGTGAAAATCAAACATAGGAAGAGCTCAGCTCACAATGGTGACCACAGAATGGAAAGTCAATCCAATAATAAGAGTCTGTTGTTAAGAGCAACAAATTAGCATAACTTTGCTCCTTGCCTTAGTAAAAAAAATATACATATAGTTAGTATCGGTTGCTTTTTTAGAGATAAATGAAAATCATACAATAAATGTTTGGTTATAACTTATACAGAGTTATAATATACACAAATTATATTATATAGCTTGATGAATATTTTTTCACACATATGGGAATCTCCATCCAGATCAATCTGTGGACAATCTACAGCAACCAAGGGGTTTCCATGTGGCCCTTCCCAATCTACTTACACTCCTTCCACCAACCAGTGGGTAACCAATATTCTGACTTCTATTACCATAGATTCAATTTGCTTGAATTTGAACCTCACATAAAATAAATCATACAATATGTACTCTTGTGTCTGACATCTGCTTTTCATTATTTTTCAGTAACATACAGCAAAATGGATTTATCTACTCTTCTGAAGGTAAACATTTGTTTGTTTCCAGTGAGGCTATTATTGATATAAACTTTCTAGTACATATCTCTTGGTGGACACATATTCTCTTGGGTACATACAGTGAGAAGTAGACCTGCTATGCTATGAGTTTAGATATACATTTAAGTTTAGTAGATACTAAAGTTAATGCTAAATAGTAGATGCTAAATAGTTTTCCAACAAGGTTAGAGTACAATGCATTTTGAGTATCAATTAATTTTTCTAATTAAGTAAACTTTAAACAAGAGTCACATCCTAACTCTACCTCCAAATCTAAAAGATTTACTTAGAAAAGAAAAACACACATACTATCAGCTTGTTTCCACATGTCTCATCTCTATGGATGGGAAAGAAACCTTGTTAAAAGATTTGTGATATCAACTTCCGCTTATTTGGTTGCCGGATATTTGCATTTATGATTTTTGAATTATTTTTGCACTTGCATTAATTTGAACAATAGAAACCTGCTTATCTAGAAACACAAAGAGAAAAGGAACACAAAGGGACAGGATAAGGGAATGAAAATACGATAAAAACTGAAAAGTAAAGAACTTATTGGCTCGGCCGGTGTTGCTCAGTGGTTGAATGTCAGCCCATGAACCAAGAGGTCACCGGTTTGATTCCCGGTCAGAGTACATGCCAGGGTTTGGGCTCAATCCCCAGTAGGGAGCTTGCAGGAGGCACACTGCTTCTTTCTCATTCATGTTTCTATCACTCTATCCCTCTCGCCCCCTCTCTAAAAGCAATAAAGACATGTAAAGAACTTACTGAACATCTCTGATGCTAAAGCACTCGGTTGTGTCCTTTCCATATTTTACTCAATCAGCGGAGAGCGAGAAAACAGGCGAATGCAGAGCGAATTTATTAAAGTTCCTGCTGGCCTATTACCTGGCCCTCTGCTACTCAGCTGAAAGTTGTTTCTGGCTGCAGGTAAACGATCCATTTAAGTTAATCTACGAATCTGAGCCACTACCTCACCCTCCAGAACTTTTCCAACACATTTCCCTTGCTTCTACTTCTCGGCCTGATATTTATCTGACAAAACTGTATCTCTTTGAGCCACTAAAGAAAAACCCACTCACTTCTCTTTTCCCTGCAACCTTGACTAGGCCTAATGACAAATAAAAATGCAGAACCTACTGGGTAAGAATTTATCCCTGTGAGCCTAAGAGGACTGAAAGCTGCTTAAATACTGTCCAACCTCCTGGTATCAGAAGGTATGCACAGTGCTGCAGAGCACGTTGAGGCCAGAGCCTCAGCCTCGCAACAGAACAGCAGCAAGCGCCACAAACCTAAGAGGTGACCAGCTGCCAAGGGCAGGCCCACAGGCCTTTGGGTCAACCCCAGATCACTGCAGGGGCACGAAAGGAATCGCCAGAACCAGCTTCTCAGCACAGACGGTTCTATTACTGTCAGCACAGCCCCATTAAAGTCCTTTGGGAACAAGTTAAAGGTGGTTTTTAAAATACTTATAGGAAATCGCTCTTTTTCACCGCTCAGATTGTTTAGGCGTAACATCCTATTAAGGCACAGGCCCTACTCGTCAGAAACATCCCCACGATTTGCTAGAATGAATCGTTTACTGATGATAATACATCGCTTTATTAACAACAGACGTTCAGTTACCAGTTCAATTCTGTGTCCCCCTGGTGAAACCTTCCCACATTGCCTTTCTGGTCGCATAGGACTAGAGAGTAAAACAAAGACGGCCCTGAGCTCACCGCATCCTTTGCTACCTCTCGGTCTCAGGCCATAACTTTCCCTCACCCCGGGGGAATGGCTTGAGATCTCCTGTGCTCCCACACTGCGCTCCTTCCTAGCAGACTTTTCGGCGTCTCCCTTCAAGCTGTACCTCCTCACTTCTCAAGTCCTCATCGTACCGGCTGTCAGACAAGAAGCATGGACAGTCCTGGGCTGGGGGAGGAGAGAAACAAGGGCGAGGCCCCCTCCTCCCCTTCTCTCCACTGCCACCGGCCCCTGACTCCCGGCCTCGCTCCTGGAGCAGAGCGCCCAAGGCGGCGTCAGTGGCCCGGAGACCAGGCAGTGGAGAGAGCCAGCGACACTAAAATCTTGGTTGGTTTTGTTTTTTATGACTAACTCAGCAGTCTTAAAAGACCAAACAACTGAAATAAGAAAACAAAACTTATTTTTTTTTATTTAAAGATAAAATAAACAAAAGAGGATAGCTAAAGATATAATAACTTTTGAAAATAAATCATTATAATTTCACCACATTCGTGGTTTAAATGGGAAAAACCATATTGTCATCTGAAAAGATGCAGGAAAAAAGTTAATAAGGTTCAGTGTCTTTTAGGAGAGAAAGTTGTCAGAAAACTAGAAGTAGAAAGCGATTTTTTTAAATGATGAAAGTCGTCTACCAAACACACGGCGAAAATATTATTCAAAGTAAAGAAAATTTAGAAGCATTCCTTTCACGGGACAAAGTTATTCACTAGCAACGTAAGTTTTCCACATAATATTGGCTTGAACACATAATAAGTCATGGAAATAAAATCGTATTGGGTTTTACTTATAATAATATGTTTTCTTGTGTGTTTGAAGACATAGAAATAAAGCAATTGGAAGGAAACACATCAAAATATTAATAGTTATGAATCATGTGATTATGACTGATATTTTTACTTTTAGTTCTTATACTTCTGCTTATATTATCAAACAGAGCAAACATTTAACACTATTTTTTTCTTTTAAAAAATAGAAGACTGTACTATCTAGCATGTACAACTTCAACCTTGGAATTTCTCCATGCAACTTGTCTCCCTGAATAACCTTTTGCTTTTCTAATTCATAAATATAAAAGAGTCTACATATTTTAATTTCAATTAACAACAACACAAAAAAGCTGGCTATGCTCTCTTTAAAGTTTAGGAGACTGAAATCTTTGGATTTCAACCGCATAGCAAATTAGGCTCCCAATTTCTCAATCTGAATAATGCTTTGAACTGCCTTGAAAAGTTTTAGATTATTTTGAAACAGACTAAACATGAAAGGACCTACACAACTATAA